TTCTCTGTTTTTCTGAACGTTTTAGTCTTTGTGGGAGTTGTTTCTGATAAATTTGATCATTTAATTTTTAAGATGTTTTATTCACATTTTAAAAAATGTATTATTTGCACATTTTATTATTTTCATAAATTATTTTCAGTATTTTTGTGACTGTCTCTAAATGTTTGTTTCTTTTTTGACACATTTTCTGGTGTTTTTTGTCATTTTGGGGCGTTTTACTGTTAATAGGATCAGTCCGTGTACAGACACTGAGTCTGTGTCTGTTCTGACAGGAAGCTGGGTTTTTCTGACCATTTGATAAACAGAGATGACGATTTTGCTTTAAACCCCAATGAACAAAACTGAACTGAAGATAGCTGCAGAATACTGGTCTGATGAGGAAAACTGAGAGCTGAGAATAAACCTCAGTTAAAACCTGCTGCACATCGAGTCTGAACGTTCATCAGTGACGTTTGATTTTTATGGATTTATTTCTGTTTGTCATGAGGTTCAGAGCAGAATGAACAAACACAAGCTCAGTGGTGATCAAAGTGTTCTGTTTGGTAGCAAACTGTGTCTTTGTCTCCGGTATGGATCGATGTGATCACTGAATGTAGAAGACGTCGGTCCTGGTGGAAGTTAAACTCTGGTTGTCCCTGATTGAACCCTGTTGGATCAGACTCATTGTTCAGTGGTTCAGAATCTGAGCTCCAGATGTTGGACTGACGCTGAGGTGTGCTCATGGTGCAGCCGGCTGTCCAGTTGTCCAGATGTCTAGTTGTCCTCTCCTCCTGTCCTCTCCTTCTATCCTCCTGTCCTTCTGTCCTTCTATCCTTCTATCCTTCTATCCTCCTGTCCTTATGTCCTCGTCCTGACTCAACCTGGACCGACGCCTGATGCTGTGAACTCAGCTCCTCTCAGGAAACGTGGATCACGACTGCTTTTACAGCCTGAGATGCTATCAGCTGATAATCAGCAGCTCCGCTGAAAGTAAACGTTGCTCAGATTACACCACGTAGGCGGCTCGGCCGGGACGCCGTCCTCCGGCTGGCACCAGATCACAAGCAGACGGGGTTCTGGTTACTGGTTAACTCAGGCGATGAAACTCGGCTCACGTACGCACCACGAGCCGGAGTTTGAACCGAGAGCGACACCAAACAGGAAGTGTCCACTGGTTCCCCGCTGTCGAGGCAGATCTGGACTTCTGAAGGCGATCATGTAGAAAATGTGGAGAAACTCATGAGAAGCAGCTCCACCGGCTGCTACGTTCACTCTGCTCACATTAGGAGACTGTTCAGACTTTCAGAGGGAGTTTAGCTGGAGGTTTGAAGGCGTGCTGTTTCCTGTCTCAGTTTACTTGGCGTTACGATGTCTTGCAGCTAACAGTTATTTCCTGGATAAAAGAGTTCTAATTAAGGAATCCAGAAAATAATCAACAGTGTAGACGCTGGTCAGCAGGTGTGTGTTTTATCCGCCTGTCCTCTGCCCCGACCTCCTCGTGTAGCTTCCAGACGCTGCGTTGGCACGTTGACCTCGTTAATGATCAGACTGTTGGGATGTGCAGCAGTTTCAGGTCGTCTTCTGCTTCTTTACAAAAGGAATGAAATGCGGTTAAAACAACAAATGTTTTTGCATCAGAGCTGCAATGAATAATCAATTAAAGGCCAACATTAATCTCCAACTGTTTCTGAGGAACTCTTGGTTTTGGCTGATTGAACATGAGCCACGTCTATACAGGTCATGGATAAATCACATGTATGTTCAAATGCACCTAAACTGTCTCATTAGCTCAGCATCACTACAGACGGACAAACAAACACATCCATCCATCCATCATCTCTACACCTTCATCCTCACTGGGGTGGTGGGGGGCGGAGCCTATCCCAGCTGACTCAGGGTGAAGGCAGGTTCACCTGGACAGGTCACCAGTCTATCACAGGGCTACACTTAGAGACAGACAACCAAGCACACTCACATTCACACCTACGGACAATTTAGAATTACCAATTAACCTCAGCATGTTTCTGGACTGTGGGAGGAAGCTGGGGAACCCGGAGAGAACCCACGCTGCACGGGGAGAACATGGAGACTCCACGCAGAAAGATCCCGGGTGTCCTCACCAGGACGCCAACCGGCGACCTTCCAGCTGTGAGGCGCTAACGGTGTTAAGCACTGAGACACCTGCAGCCCTGCTTTAAAGTCAAGATATTTAAAAAAGTAATTTCCAACTAGAACTTCAACAATAAATTATTTGTTAGCTATTAAATTAATCAGAAACTATTTTGATAACTTATTGAAACAACAAAAAACAGAAACTCTGATTTCAGCTCCTTCAGTGAATGTCTTCTGGGTTCTTTCCTCTGCGACACTAAACTGAACATCTCTGGACTAAACCAGACGTTGGAGGGAACTCTGATCCATGTTTTTGACCATCAGCTGATTAATTCATCCATAACATTCACTAGTAGCAGCAACACTTGCTGTGCTTTAGCTGAAAACGTGTTTATTTGTATTAAATGAAACCTGCTGGTGTGTTTTCAGTGTTGAGCTGCTGCAGCCTTCCAGTGTGACTTCACAGAAACCAGGTGAGTCTCCTGCTGCTGCTGTTTCTGACTCGTGCTCCATCAGAGACTAAACCAGTGAAACCAGTCTGCAGCAGCTGGTTTCTGTTGGCTGAAGGTAACTCAGATGCTGGCACGGTTCCTGCCACTGGTTCCTGCTGCCGTGTTCGGCCTCACGTATCCAGCATTCCTCAGAAGTGAAGTTCTGAATAGCTGCTGACTGATTGAGCTGCTTCTTCCTGATGCACTTGAAGGCATCAGTCAGTGAGTCTGAGCTGCTGATGAGCTCTGATGCTAACATCCACATCTGCTCATATTCACAGCTGCAAACACAATAGAAGCAACATTTAGAGTGCAGCTGAGATGCTTCCAGGACTTATTAACGGATTGTATAGGTCAGATCATGTGAGTGATCATCACAACCTTCACGTCTGGTTTTGTCTCATCAGGACTCTAAATGTTCACTCTCAGAAAAGCAGCAAATCCTCAGAAGCTGCTTGTTTATTATCAGCACTGTTCCTGAATAATGGACTTGAATTAATAATATATAAATACACCACTGACACCGCTTTGATCAACAGGTCAGAAACATTGATGACATTATGATAAAATGTAGTTTAACTGTGGTTTGGTTTGGTTTGTTTTTTAAAAATTGAATTTAATGAAATGGGCAGGAAGATTTAATCAGTGTGCTCAATATTCACGAGAATAGTTTTATTAATGATAGTAATCACAATAATAATAATAATAATAATAATAATAATAATAATAATAATAATAATAACAGTAATAATAATAATAACAACAGTAATAATAATAATAGGTAATAATAATAATAATAATAATAATAATAGGTAATATGTTTTAATGTTATCATTAAAACCATGTTTTAATGAGCAGTAAAATCAGTAGTAATAGAATGATTATTATTAGCACTAGCAGCAGAAGTAATATTGTCAGGAGTAGTAGTACTGTGAAAAGTACTATTGTTAGTATTATACGTAGTTGTAGTTTAATTCCTGTTATTATTATTATTATTATTATTATTATTATTATTATTATTATTATTATTATTATTATTATTATTATGAGACTCTGGCATGTCCTGGTTCTCGATCAGCTGTTTCCCACTTCCGTCCTGCGCGTGGTGGCAGCGCACGTCTGTTTACTTCCGCCTGTCCGAGCGCACGAGGACGACATGCGGCTCTCGGAGTCTCCAATGGCGGCGGGCACGCCCACACTGCGCGGGCACGTAGAGAGCGTGACCAGTGATTGTGTTTGTTAAGAACAAAGTTCATAGAAACCTAGAAACTGAACCGACGGGATTCATTTAACTGTTTATGTTTGATTTCTGCCATAAATCGATCAGAGTGACTGATAGAGATCAATAGATGTATCGATACGTGCGTGATGTACAGGCTCTCTGTGGTTTCTGTGGAACTGAAGGAGGAACCTTCATCCCTCCATCCGCCCCATAGGGAACATCACATGCAGCACGTCTCTCACACGCCGATGACAGCCGCCTTCACAATAAGAGCACCACAGGCTACTTCCGGCTCCGGATCAGCGTCTCTTCATTTAGTGAGTGAAGAATAAAACAGGCTGACCTGAGATACTGACGTTCAGACGGTGTTTCATGTGACACACATTCAGGTACTGGGATTTATTTAATGACTCAGGACTTGTTTTTTGTGTGTTTTTTTCTTTGTGTTTGATGTGAAACGCCTCGATCAGAATCTCTATTAGAAATAAACATATTCTCAGTTCTTCTAGCTGATGTTTAAGACACTCATCCAGACTCTTTGCATCATGCTGGAGGCTTTAAGCAGCTCTGGGGGATTTGGGTAAAACATCTTATTGCAGCTTCAGATTATGTTGAATTTGCAGTTTCATTTATAAAACTATGATTAATAATCAAAGATCAGATATGGACGATTCTAACCTCTAAAGGGATCCAACATCAGTCCTGTGCTTCTGGCAGATCAGACAAGATGAGCTGAGCTGAGCCTTTATTTGTCTCACAGCTGTTTTGATGCATTCACTGGTTTCTATCTGTTGAAACTGTTTGCAGGAATGTGTTTGTGACTCTACAGGGGAAGGTGCTGTTGTTGTTCTGAATCAGTGTTTAACGTGTTTGTCTTCATGTGGTTCTACCAGAACCGATCCAGATGTGCAGCGAGATGCGTCAAATGAATCTTCGACCTTTATTGTGAAATGTAAAACCGGAAGCAGCGTGTGTGAGCTCGGCGGACTTGACGGACCTGCAGCCCAATAAGACTCGGATCAGCTGACTGAGGACCAGTTCGGGGGATCCGCTGTACCCGTCCGGACCTCCTCAGTCAGTGTGTCCGTGTGTCGGAACCAGTCCAGGACTTTCCCCTGCGGATCGATAACTCGTCTGATCGATCAGCCGGTCCCGTCCATCCCGGACCGACATGCCCTTCATCGAGCACGTCTCGGACTCGGACCTGGAGCGCCTGGCTCTGGAGCGGGTGGTGCCGGCGCTGCTGGCCCACGGCTTCTTCTACCTGGACGGGCTGCTGGGGGAGCTGGCGGGCGGCGCGGTGCTGGACCAGGTCAAGGAGCTGCACCGCACCGGCGCGCTGCAGGACGGCCGCCTGGCGAGCTCTGCGCCCGGCGTCCACCGCAGCAGCATCCGCGGGGACAAGATCGCCTGGGTGAGCGGCTCGGAGCGCGGCTGCGAGGCCGTCAGCTTCCTGCTCAGCCTCATCGACAAGCTCGTGTCCGTGTGCGCCGGCAGGCTGGGCAGCAAGGAGATCCGGGAGAGGTCCAAGGTAGGCGGACTGCAGGGCCCAAGGGCCGGGCAAGGGCAGCGGGGGGACCAGGGTCTGGGAGCAGGGGGACCAGAGACTAGAGCTGGGGAGCAGGTTTAACGAGGTGGAGGTGTGGAGATGTTCAGATGTTCAGATGTTCAGACAGAAACTTTCTTCGTTCCTTTGTTTAGTCACTGAAGCAGTCCAGCTCACATGTAACATTTCAGAAAACAAAGTGAAGCTGCAGAGTGACAGCCAGAGAAGTTGTGCATCTGTTTTGTTTGAAAGAACTAAAGAGCAAGAGTTTATGCAAACTTGTGCTTTCTGTCCTAATCAGAGCTGCTCGTTCATTAATTAATGCCTAAATGAGACTCTGCAGGTTTAGTGGCTGTGAGTTGGTCACTGAGTAAATAAGCCTTCATGGAAATGAAACTACACGAATGTTAAAATGACCGTTTGATGTTTGATCAGCTGTGTTTGTGCAGCAGGACATCAGGACAGAAACCAGTAAAACCCAAATATAACAGAATGAAAGCAGGAGGACGGTGTGTGAGACGTGAAGTAGACGTGAAGCGTTGATCTGTAACCAGCAGTCGCTTCGTTTTAATGTTGAACTTTGACTAAAAGCTGCTCAGAGACACAAACACATGAAAACTGGAGACAGTAAATAAATCAGAGACGTTAAAGTGGACATGAAGCCGAGCAGCGAGGACGAGCTGCAGACAGCCATCCAGTCATCATTCAGTTATGAAGAGTTAGGAGCAGAAATCCTCTGGTTTGTGGTTTTATTCACATTTATTGGTGTTTATTTGTTTAAGCAGCATCAGACAGAGAAGAGCTCTGATCACAGGGTGGCCACAATAATAGGAACACCTTCTCAGACCGGACCTGTAGCTGACACGGATCCAGTTCATTTAGATTCTTTATTACACCGAGTGTAGTTCTGATATTTCATGACGGCAGGTTTTGTCCCAAGCAGGAAAGTTTCAGCATCAAACGTTTAATTTCCTGCATCCTGGTGAGAGTCTGTGATTCTGCTTCAGTTTAAAATGTCTTCATTTATAGAAACATAATGAAGCTCTCAGGAGTTTGTTCTCCTCCACATCATCTCTGCTTTCTCAGATTTTTACCTTCATACAATCTGCATTTGCTTCACTGCATAATAACACAGAGTTTAACCGTCGTTTCTAATTTAGTTTATTACATACACGATGAATGCAGGACGTCTCAACATCAAACCGGCTGTGGGACATTAGTCCAGCTTCAATCTGGTTCAGCATCAGATTTTATCCGTTTTGTTAAATTACAGACAACATCTTGTTAAATTTTTAAAAAATCAGTATTTTTACATTTTTTCAGTGTTTCCATAAAACCAGACATTTCAACTTTAGATGAACATAAAATCCTTACTTTACAGATATTTGCTGTTGTTGGACTGAGGAATGATGGATTATATTTTTGTTGTTTTAAAGATGTAGTTGAATTGCAGATATTATCTATTAAAACTTTACGAACATCTTTAAAACATGTGTTTATGTAGAACTTGATTAGTAGTTTTGTTTTAGTACAGAATCAGCTGATGGACACATTTTCAGTTTGTTGTGGATTTTTTTTGCTCAGCTATAAACCAGAACCAAACCTGTCCCGTCTAAAGGCAGCACTTTGTTAGAAGCTTGAAGTGTTCTGTCTGATCTCAGGTCAGTTCAGTCACCAGCAGCTGACTGAAGCGGGTTCACAATCTTCTCCTACGTTGTTCTTTCTTCTCTGAAACTCGTCGGCCAGTTTGGCTGCCGTCCAGTGACCCGGTTTGGGCCCAGAGCCAAAGCTTTAGAAACCAGAACATGATGACAGGAAACTTACTGGACCGGTTCAGCTCCTCTGGGTCTCTGTGGATTCATCATAATTAATCATTCAGGCGGGTTCAGGACTGGACACAGAACCCGACCAGATGTTTGTAGAACATTTACATATTTGTATTTATGAACCAGAACCTCCTCAGAACATCTGGTTCTGTATCTGCAGCACCTTTATCTACTGACCAGAGTTCTACCTTCAGACTGTGAATGTTCCAGACGTCCAGGTCCTTGAAGTCCACAGAGGAGGGTCCAGATTGATCACTTTAATGGACTTTTTCCATCATGTCTGAGCCTCAGAACTTCATCAGTACAGCAGATAGACACATGACATTTAGGAGGAAGAACACATCTGGGTTCTGGTAGAACCTGACACCAGATCAGTTCTACATCCATTCAGGTGTCTCAGTCTGAACACTGGACCTGGTTCTGTTCATGTCCTCTGCCAGAAGCTGGTAGCATCAGTATTATGGGATGTCTCATAGGGGTACCAGTTTAACGTCTATGAGATAGAGTCATAGAAACAATCATTGGTACCCTGGATCTGGTTCTGGTTCTGATCATTAATCAGAGGAAACTTTCCAAAGTGTATTCTGGGTAAACGTTTCAGGCTCCTATCAGTATGTGTGATGATGGTTGGGTCAGAACACGTCAAAGCAAGTAGAAGCAGAAAGATTCAATAAACGTCGACATTCTCACGTACACACTCTGATTCAATAATTCACTCCCTCACTCCTCCTCCTCCTCCTCCGCTCGCCCGCCCAGACACACCCACCGACTTACTGTACACACACACACACACACACACACACACACACACACACACACACACTCAGTGCACGTGCAGCAGCAGCAGTTTACAGTAAAACTTTATCACACAACTGAGTGTTATCAGACGGAAAATCAGGAAAACGGGTCAATTCAGCTCCAACAGGAAGAAGAGTGTGTGTGTGTGTGTGTGTGTGTGTTACTGGGTGTGTGTGTGTGTTTGTTAATACCTCTGATAGAGTTCAGAGCAGAACAACACGTCGACGTGCAGAAACTCAGACTCGTCTCGTGTGAATCTGAACCACTGAGACCACGTCTGTCCTCCTGCTGGTGGACAGACGGAGTTCAGAACAGACTTGTACACATGTTCAGATAAGAACTGAGCCAGTTGTCCTGAGTAAAGAGGAATCAGGAGTCAGTCAGACTGAAACTTGGACCGCTCGAGTCCCATCAGCGTGCTGGATGGAGGCTGCAGGTCTCACTGGTGTCGCTGTTTTTCACTGCGCTGATACAACCCTCTGTGGCTGGTTGGGTCGCAGTGGGTTCTGGTTCCTCTGGTGGTTTTGTGTCTCTTTGTGGTTATTTTTTTTCTCTTTGTGGTGGTTTTGTGTCTCTTTGTGGTTATTTTTTTTCTCTTTGTGGTGGTTTTG